TTTGGGTGTTCAGACGCCCAAAGACCCGCAGAAAACGAAGTTTGGGACGTCATCCCACAATCTTGGGGCAATATCCACATTAAAAAGGGTGGTTTGAGAGTTCAGGTGTGGGTACCAAGATTGATTACAACATGTGTTTAAACTCGAGGATGGTCATGCCGCGTGACCAAATCGCCCCTTGGATGTTTTAGAGACAAATGGCTTGTCCATGCAGCCTACCAAAGGTTAGCCTTTTGCGGGGAAGCGCAAACCAGATTTTTGCAAGCCAGAGAGAGGCTGCTTGAACTATTTTGGTTTAAGTCCTTTAACAAGAGGTTAACTTGCCCAACCCCAATAGGTACCACACAATCGAAATTCACACTGCTTTCAGGGGGTCAACCCCTGAGTAAGAAACAGAGGAGGTGTGTGCCATGGATGACTCTGTGTGAGTGTTATTAGTTTAATCGACAAAAGACAGACCCATGTGCCATCAGCAAAAGGTTGCGTCAAGCAGCACTGGCAAGGCTTCTTCAGGTGGTTTGCATATGTCATTCTGTATATGAATATGTATGTATATGTGCTTATTGGACAACACACAGGGCGCACCCCTCCATTTGCCCCGGTGTCTGCGTGCATATTGGAATGTGCGCTTGTCAGTAATTGTTCAGACCGGGTGAGCAACTACTTAATCATTTATTTGCATGCTTTTCTTTGTTTGCTTTTGCTTGCTGTCCCTAAGACTCCAGTTGCTATAGTTACCTGTACAGTAGCCACAGATTCTGCCCCTTTTTGCTTCGAAAGGTTCCGCTGGATACCGGGTAAGTTGGCAGCTGCTTCGGGGCTTGGTGTTCATTTCTTTTAGGCGAGCCTTTCCCGTGGCTGGGAAGACTATACCGTAATATTTTTTGGGGGAACGCGCCCCGTAAGGAGATGCATCGGGGAGGGGTGGGGGAGCCCGGGGTAATGACCTAAAAGCTGTCCCAGTCATCCCCTTAGCTTTTTAGCCTTTTAGTGTTATTGGTAGGTTTCATTCAACCCACCTAAAAGTTAGTCTCTTTTAGCGAGGGATCTGAGGGCAGCCCAGGCAATGCGCCTGTTAGTCTCTGTGCAATCGGTGCGAAACGGACCCAGGCCAGGAGCCAAGTCCGGCTATCGGAGCTGGGCTCGGATGTGGGGGACGGCTGGGGCGGGGGGGAAGGGGGTTGGAGCCACTTGTGAGGAGATTCTGGGCATTTGAACTGCAGGTCTCGCGGTGTGCCAATTGCTTCTCTTGCCACATTTGCTCGGCCATCGGATGAATCCGCTCAGAAGCCCCTCTGCAGGTCACTTGCTAAGGAAACTGATTCAGAAGAGCCCCCTGAAATGGGTATAGTTTCCTTCCTAAACGGGGCTTCCCACCCCTGAAAAGTAGGCTCCGCGTTCGAGTCCGAAGCATGACATTGGCGGGCGGTGCCCCAGGTGAGTCACGGGTCCAATCCGCAAGCTCCGAGGCCTGACGCGCCTGAGGCCAAGACCGATGCCAAGGCAAGGGGGTTGGATCCGATGTTCCTCCGGAAGCACTGGAAAAGAAACTTGTTAGGTTTTGTTGGAAAATCCGGACGAAGCCGGTTTTAGTCAACTTGAGGAAAAGAGGGTTGTGTGGGTTGGAAGACATGGCTATTGATTGTAACACCAATTTAATTGCCGGATTTGTTGATATCTGTGTGCGATTGCAAGCGGAACCTTACCCAAAACACCTGGGTGTGGTTCGGTTGAGGCTTGGCAAGCCACTTGGTGCTGTGTCAGGTCTTGGAATTTTAGACCATATATGGGGAAGCCAGGATCTAACAGTCGAACATTTCCCGCCTGTTTTCTGCACCAAGGCTTGGGTTGTGCGACTCGCCTTCGGGGCTTCAGACGAGGGAGGCAACTGAAGTGCGTTCTGTTCAGCCACAGGTTGTTAATGGACAAGCTCTGCGAAGCCAGGTGGGCGGGGAATTGCTTTTGGCCGCAGAACCAAACAACCGGAAAGGTTACTCCTATAAAGGACTGGACAACTACGAATCGTTTACTGCCCAACAACCCATTGGAACCCAACAGGCATCAGGAAATCCCCATCATTGCGGGGCTCCAAGCTAATCAGGGAAGTAGCCGTTCACAGATTTCCCAGGTCAACCACTACCCATCGCATTCCCTGTGGTGATAAACAGGTTACATGTGAGGCCAGGGTGCGTACCAAGCCAATACACACACACACCACTCCAAATACCCCAAAGCCTTGTTGGGATAAACAAAACCCAGCTTTTCTCACCCCGAAGCAATTTGGGTAGGGGTAGTTTGAGAAGCCAAACTGGGCCCCTGCTAGAGCATTCTCACATCAAGGTATCCAGTTTCGCCAGTTGTCTCCTGGCTGCCGCACGGTCAAGTGGAGGCCAGGGGCCAAAGCAGACAAACTGAGAATCCATTGAAAACTGAATCAAGCCAACGAGCTGCCCAAGGAGGAGGAATCTCCAGCTTCGTGTTTTGCTTTGGTCGAAGCCGGGGGGGGGTTTTCGAGGGCCGAATCGCGACAGGCGAGTTCTGCGCCCGCCGCCGCCTCGGAGCTCCGGAGCTTTCCCCAGCGATGTAAACAAAGGCGGCTGCACTGACGTGTCTGTCTGGGGTAAAAGAGCGAGCCATCCTTCAACTGAAAGGAAAACGGCAGGTAAAATGGGATTCTTCCAGTAGCCCTGTGTTTTGGCCTGTACAAAACAACAAATGCATGGTATGTACCTCGTTTTTGAAGTCAGGCGTCAGCATTTGCATGACCATGGAAGAGAGATGGCTCTCCTCCGACTTATTGACGGACATTCCACCTTGATGTCCGCCAAAGGGTCCCAATTGAACATCGCTCCCATACAGATAGGCTCAGCGCTGCCTTCAGCTTCAGGAAGTCAGCAGAGGCATTATTTCGCGGGGCGGTTGGGGGTGAGCATGAGCGATTGATGGAAAATGGGAGATATCGTTGTATGTGATAATATATATATATAAAGACACGCATGATTTTCCTTAGTGGAAAGATCAGCATTTGCAGATACATGTTGATATTAGCAGGGGGGGCCAACTAGCATGGTGCAATGGTTGGGCAGTCTCATTGCTTTAGGACCACTCAAAAGGGATCATCGCTGGGGGATCGGAAAATGTAGGATTTCTTTTTAAGGACTTGCCACTTGTTGTTCTCCAAGGCTCCAAACGGCACACCCAGTCAGTTGGGGGCACGGTTCGTCGCAAGATACGGTGAAACGCCTGGGATCCGCTGGGATCCGCTGGGATTGCTGGATCTATGTGGATCTTTTTTTTGAGACAGTGGCAAGCCAGTTTGGACCTTAGGCCTGTGAGTGTTTAAACCAACAGGCTGGGAAAAGGTCAGCTGGGGAGTCTGGGGAGAGTCAACTGTGGCCTTGATGATTTGGCCCTGTCGTGCCGTTCAACGTCCGGATCTGAGCTTTATGGATTTCTTGGTAAGCTATATAAAGGAAGCCACGGGCGAATTGGCAAGATGTCCCCGGTAAGTGCAATGGTTCTGTCTAGTGGGTATCCACGTCAACCCTTGTAAAACAGAAGGGGCAATCGCAAGTGGCATCCGATATGTGCCATTTCCCCACCATTGCTCGCCTCGTGCCGCTTTTCGTGAGCAAACTTGCAGGGGGGTCCAACAATGCCCGGGTGTGACATGGTGTGACCCTTTGGTTTCAATTCCGGGAGGACTTGAGACCTGGACCCGAAAGTACCCAGGCGATGTCCGGGGGTCCGGGTCTGGTTTCTCGGCCTGAGCCGGGCTCAGGGGGCTCTAGACCGAATCCCAAGTTGGGGCTGCTTGGTTTGCTCAACCCCTTTTTTTTCCAGGACACAATGCATAACACCTAGAAACCTAATTGTGCATGGTAGATACCCGCTCTTTCTAGTCAGGGGTTGACATCATACCCTGGTATCTCGAGAAAGGAGGTGGTATCAATGGGCCGAACTGCAGACACGTTGGGAATCTATGACTACTGGGCATATGTTATCATATAGTTCCAGGGGCAAACCAGCTATGGAAACGACACTGAAAGAAAGAAAGATAAGTGGATTCCTCCCTTTGCGATTTTTGACTCAGGTCAACGGAAGGAACTTACACTCGATCCACCGGCAGAAGATCCATTCAAAAGGAAACTCCTTGTAGGTCCCAGCAAGCGTAGTTCCCCCCGCCTTTCTGCAACACGGCCAGACTTAACTAACCCTTGTATTTTTTGCTCTTTTGGATTTTCCTTCATCTTCAAGCAGCAACAGTTTGTCACTTTTGAGGCCGTCCCTTGTGGTTTTCAAGCGAAGGTGCTTGCCCCGACTGGCCCTTTCCTGTGAAGCTGGATTCAGATCGCCGGTCATAAGGAGGCTTCAAGCTTGGAACAAGATGGCTTCACACTCATTCGCCGTTCATTGCATGTGTGTTTAGTCTTTTGGTCCTTTGATTCGGTTCATTGGGCTGAACAAAAACTTGCCAGTTGGAAAATCCATAGCTACACATTGAAAGCATCGCAGGCAACAAGTGCCTGGAAATGGGGCAAATGGACACAGTTGTCTCGTAATGGAAAGCAAAAAGGGCCACCAAGCCCTTTGGGCCTCAAAAAGACTCCCACATGATCACGCACCAACACAGCCAAGGAGACTCCAAGTCTGACAAACCGTGGCCAAGGCGTCCAAGGTGAGTTCCCCTTGGCGCAATGGTTTGAGGCAAAACATGAGATAGCACCCCCAGAAAGGGGAGGGGGCCGGGTCCTGCTGGTTTCCGTTTAAAGCCACAAACAAAGGTAAAGACACACCTATCCCCTGCTCCAAATACCCTTTTCTTCCGGGGCACGATGTTTACCCCTGACAAAAACAGGGACGTATTTACCGTGGACAACCGGGCCTTTCCAACTAGACCCACCATAAACTGTCTGCGGGCATTTGGAGTAGGGGGTATCCCGGGAGCCCTGAGACCATTGAAAGCGCGTTATGCCCAAAGCGGCTTCCGCGGAGCCGCCATGTTGCCGGAGGGTCCCTTCGCGTGCGCGGGGGGCGCGGTGTTGGGGCCGGACCAGCTGGCGGCTGCCCGGGGGCCTGGCAGGTGATTTGGGGCCAGGACCCGGGATTTGAACCACCCCCGAACTCCCAAACCACCGGGCTCCAAAGCACCAATCAAAACCACCAGCTGAATGGGACTGGTTCCCCCCCCTCATTTGGCCATGGTTTCAAAACCGATGGGATCCTATTTTGGTTGGTATGTGAATTCACCACCCAAATTTTGGGACCTATTTTAGTGGTTGGATTGGGATGTTTACTGGGGGTACGATTTGGGTTTTGACCCATGGACAAATGTTGACCCCGGATACATCAACCCTTGATAGGGGGGTGTGGGGATTCAGGCCCATGTCCATAAACAGGGGTTGATTAATCCGGGGTGAACCTGACCGGAGGGGCCCAATGGAGGACTGAAAGATTTGGATGGTCAGGCCGGAGAGGGTAGAACTTCACTGATGGTTCAGTTTGGGAGACTCATGGATCTTTCAGGAAGGCAGACGCCAGAAGCACCACAATGAAGTTATCATAATTCTTCGAACTGCATTTGGTTTGCTTTAATGGTCCATGTTCAGTGGGGGGCTGCAACCAACTTCTGTACCGAGGCTTCGGAAGAGAACCGACCCGTTAAGTCAGACACGGACATGTTGGGCGTGATGTCTACCCGGGACAAACATAGCTTATTCTCGTGGAATAGTTGTTTAACATATACATATATACATATATATAGAGGGCTCCTTGAAAGATACATTTTGCCCATTTGAAACATGAGGCAGTGTTCAGGTGTATAATGTAAGGATCCCTGATATATACATATATATATATATATACAAGTTATCTCCAATTACCCGGCCTTGTTTAATGCGTTTACTCTGAATCATGAGTTGTCTTCCTACCAAAATCCTCCTTTTTTAGTCAGAGGTCGACATCACGTATACCGTTATATACTCTACAAAGTTGACTCGGTCCTAGATCTCCTGTGGGTTTGTTTGGTGTCTTTTTCACCTTAACACCAACTCCCGAAAATCATCCAGTTGCGAATAAATAAGAAACGTATGCAATACACCGTCTTTGCTTTGGGATTGGGTGCATGGCCCTGTGTACATGAGGTCATTTCACCAAACTCTCCCGCTTCTTCTTATTAGAGTTAGTTTCTAAGGTCATAATACCACAAAAAGTGTGCAGGTGTGCATATTTCAACAGAATACTGTAGAACGGGGTCGTGGTGGAGTTTAAAGCCATATTCAGCCATGCTCATGCGAGAACCGTGCTTGTCCAGTACAGAACATGATGGACCCGTTTTGTGGGTTTCATATTCACTCACCTTGAATTGCCTTGAATGTATCAGTTGAAGAACGTGGTGGATGCCTGGGGATAGAGGGTGTTCTCAGGTCATGCTGCCTGAATGCTTTTGGCTACCAACTCATGTCAATGCTACCACCAATCCCTACCGATGTCAAAGGCATTCTCCAACGGACTACGCGGCCACACCTTTCGTGTTTCTTCAAGGACCCCCCCCCCCCCGATTGTGTGAGTTCCATAGATTTAGAGATATACCAGCCTCTCTAGGTAATTGGGTACGACCCCATGCGTTCTACCACACGGTTGCATTGTCCACTTGGACTTCTTCGCATGTCCAACGGCATTTCTCAGTTTGAGCCCGTAGGTGAAGAACATGGTAGATGCCTGGGTTGACCTGGAGCTGAAGCAGAGTCGGGTCTTGGCCAACTTGTGACTTGCCTGCCGAACATTTCCATCAAGCCATACTCACACTACAAGGGGGTTTGCTCAAAGAGTTCTTACAAACCCTTGAATTTGGGGTATCTGATCCCAAAAGTACGTTTTTGTTGGGGGTGTAGACTGAAATTGAAGCGGGGGTTTCCTTTTTGTGCACCCTTGGTCCAAGGTCAGAGGCCAGCTTCCAATAGCCCTTGCTACTTTGAATCAGGCATCTGCCAGAGGCTGATCCTTTGGCGGTTCGAATCCTGCCAAATAGTCGTCCAAGAAATGCGGGGTGGAAAGAATGCTCGTGTGGCTTTGGGCTAATAGACTTTCAGATCGGAGTGAGTTAGATTTCTATCTCTTGCGGGCAACCTGCATGGGATCGATAAACCACAGTTGACGGCTGGATCGTGGACCCTGCAACTTGTTGCAACATCCCCCAATCAGCCCGCTGGTTCCACGGTGTTTGAACACTCGGTGCTGAAGCGAACCAAGAGGCTGCCTTCTGGTCACATGGGGAAACCCCGTTTCTCCGGTACATGTCTTCAACAAATCAACCTAAATCCTCCTTAGTCAGGGATCAACATGATGTCATAAAATCCGCTTCGGTAGTTGGAGGGTATCGTTTTCTTCTTGATTTGAAGAAATCAAACCACCTATATTGAGAGTTTCCACCAATTTGAGACAAACCCAATTTCCTTAACAGATCGAACTAACTGGATTTGAGACAAGTACAAATCAGATCACGTTGAGAACTCACCAATGGGCCAACGGGCCAATAGGCCAATGGGCCAACGGGCCAATGGGTCGGCCTTTTTGGCTACTCAGGTACAGCGCCCTACTGGAGTCCGGCAGTGAGGCCTTGGAGTTGCAGATCCAGGCCGGCTCGGTCAGCTGTCACCTCATTCTGGGCACTGGGATTTCTGCGAAAAGCGACCTGGACCCGAAAGAACCATACCCATTAAGACCCAACAAAACGGGAGATAGTGCAAGCCACATGAATGGTGCCATGATCAATTCCTGGAGGCCCAATTGATACAGAAAAAAGTGCTCAATTGCATTTTCGAAGTTCGAACGCTTTTTTCTGCCCGATTGGAAACGAACAGTTTTGAAGACGGCTTGGCCCGAAATGCGCACCGCGTTTCGAGCGCAATTCGGCGCAACTTCGGGCGCAATTTCGCGCAACTCGGGCGCAAATCCGCGCAACCGAGCGCAATTTTAACAACTGCCCAAATTCTGGCCACTACACTAGCGCCAAGTCGCTGGCTCCCAGAAGCGTTTTGGGCACTTTCTTCGCCAAAAACATTCGAGCACAAACTCCTGTATCAATTGGGCCTCCAGGTTTGTCAGGGTAATTGAAGGGTCCGGGCAAGTTTTATGTTGCCACTCTTCCGTTTGGTTTGGGAAGAGTCGAATCGATGGTTAGGACTGCGGCTTTGCAGTGCTGGTGATCATGATGATCGCGCTCAGGGCATTGGACTACGACTACGGCCAGGCACGACAAAGATTCAACGAGTCGACCCTCGAATCGACGGACACGAGGTGCATGAAATGCTTGGACATGATTTGACCCTCAAGGTCAGTCCCTCACATTAAATGAAAGAGGGTTTATACGCATGAGATGAATGCGTCGCAACATTTGGGACCCCACTTTGATATCGTAATCAACCTGGTGGTTAACAGCGAGGCGTTCTGCTACATGTTTCCCTCTGAAATAGGCTTCACATTCAGATCATATAATTTCCGTTTGGTGGTGTTTCTAGCTTGTAAACATGGGTGGAACCCTGTGTGAGGCGGCGATTCCACGCTTTAAAACAATTCCCTGGATCCCAGAGGCAAGGCAGCGTAGTAGATATCCTTCGATCCACTTTCGTGTTTAAAGAGTACTTAATTGATGTTTGGCATTTTTGTTTGGGATTTGAACCAACTTCCAAACCACCTGTCTCCAAACCACCTGTCTCCAAACCACCTGTCTCCAAACCACCAATCAGATAAAAAGAAGAAACAAAAACGAATGGCACTGCTTCCCCCCCTCCCCCCCCCCCCGCGCCCCGCTGAGTTTTTCAGGCGGCGGCGGGTGACCTCTTCGCGGAGGTTCAGAAGCTGCTGCAGCGCCTTGAGCCCTTCCGCGCGGAGGCCACAAGCCGCGGCTGGTGGCCCGAGACGCGGCTGGGCGGGGATCGGGGAGTCAATGAGTCGGGGAGTCAGCTCGCTCGCAAGTGGACCGCTCGCGGGGATTTTTTTGTTTTGGGGGGGATCCCCGTCTTTTGGTTTTAAAGGGAAGGCAGAAGGAATTTTGGGGCATGTTGAAGGTTTCTGGGTTGGTTGGTTTGTTTCTGCTTGGTTTCTGGATGGTTTCTGGGTGGGTTCTCGGGTTTTTTGCGGGGTTGTTCTTTTGCTTGTTGGGTTGGACAGAGGGGAGAGGGGAGCCTTCGGGGTTATTCTTCACCCAACAACTACTGTAGTCCGGCGTTTCCAAACTTGCTGGTTCATACAGGAAAGGGTTTTGGACCGAACCATTCCGCTGCAGCCCTGATGATTCACCCTATGATTGGCTTTCGAAATTATTTTCAATCAGATCCAACAGTCAAGAACTCTACTGAGCATCCAAAGAGACCCCCGCAGAACAGAAGCCACAACCCTTGTTTTGTAGGGTATCTGAAGAGAAGCCTTGTGCTTTAGTGGCGGAGCCCTCATATCTCCAAGATCGACTTGACATGGGTGTTGTTTTTTCGACGGCAACCAAAAGGAAACCACGATTTTGGCGGTCCCCTAAACATCTACACGCCCACCTGGAGCCTACCAGCAGCGGAGTTCGGGTGGCCATACGCCTTTCTCGGGCCGAGAAAACAAAAGCTGAGGCGGGACTTGGCCATCTATCCCGCGCTCGTGGGCCTGCACGCGCCCCATGACTGCCACATGACGTCACAAGTCCAAAGCGAGCTGCATCTCGAAAAGCGGCAGAAAACCCACGGAAAACCCACCAGTCAGTGGCAACTTGGGGGGAATTCAGGGGACCCGTGTTTCTGTCCCTGTGATCTTGTCATATTCCGTCCATCATTTACCTATAGGTAGGGCGCCAAATGGAACATGGCGAAGGGTTCGAAATGCACGGGATCCGCTGGGTGTAACAACCTAGACCTCCAGTGGCTTGCTTCTTTGGAGCGAGTTGCACGTTAAAGTCAGCCACCCAACAAAGGGTGCATTTTGTTTGCTCTGGCAACTGGGGGTATGGCAGAATTGCGATGGGGTCCTGGGGGACTGTAACACGTTCAGTCATGGTAATCTAAAGATGGTGCGCGTAGTTATTTCCTGGACAGTCAAGCTATGGCACCCGTTCTTGTTGGCTGTGAATTCTGAGCTTCTTCACGCAAGCAATATGTGTCTTCATTTGTGCCTTCTTGGGGTGAACCAAAGGGAACCCCTTGTTTGATCCTTTGTCTTACAATTCCATACCCAGCTTCCCACAACTCTGGTCTGCGAAATGAGGTATGAGGTGTTTGTGCTGCCATGTTGATTTTGTTAGACACGCTCGTCAGCCCCGTCTTGCCGCACGCCGAAAGCCGAAGGCTATGGCTCCCAGCTGCGGTTTTACATCTACTCGCTTCGTGACTGGACGCCGGCGGGACATGCCGAACGAGGACAGCACTGATCGAGTCACCGATGGGGAGCCGACTGCCCCCCAAGACCACCAGTGGTACTTTTATGTCCTTTTGCACTTGTTTTTGGAGGGTCCGTTTAGAAATACCAAAAACAAAGTGCCAATTCAGTTTTTCCCATGGCCATGGGGGGTCTGGGGTCCTTTGAAATCAATCTGCGAACAACCGGGTGCCAATTCTTGTTTTTTCCCATGGCAATCCACTGGGACGTCTGCATGGGGCCTTTTTCGAGACTTCCGGATCGCCATGTTGGCGCCTCGGTCAAGCTTGGCAGATCAGTAAGGCTTCTCCCACCAAAAGTGAAGGATCCGCTGGACAATGGAACATCCCCCCGATCAAAATCAGCCAGGGGTTGATGAGTCCTGGGTGAACAGTGTGGGGGGTGTGCCTTTGTGACCTTTCTTCACTGTTCTTGGCATGTTTTTGTTGATCAGTTTTTCGGTTTTGTCCACTTTCAGTGGGTGGCCGAACGAAACAGATTGGACAGCTTTCCAGTTTTGGTTGCAGAGAGGTATCGTAACAATCGGACATGGGCCCCCAATTGTGGCCCACTCATTTCCGCGTACAATATCCAAATGGGTGTGGCTCAAAATTAAACAGGAGGGGTTGCGCAGGTTGTGGTGCATGTTTTCACTTACCAGGACTCCATTTTGGGTGCCGGAATTTTGAGCCAAAGCCAAATAGGTGCTAGGCGCACCTGTTTGTTGGGTTCGCCAACTCACAACCCTCTAAATCTCTTCCCCCTGTGCTTCCTCGACTATTCTTTAAATAGCCTCGACCATTTAAAAAACAAAAGGCTATAAAAGTAATGTCCCTCGACCATCAAAAGTAGGTCTAGACAAACTTGTCCAACTTGAGACGGCTGGCTCCTGACATCCCCACGCGCTTCTGTGCAGTGAGAGGTTGAAGAACTTGATTGCCGCCTTTTATGAAATTAGCTCAGTATGTTTTACAGTCGCTTCATCCCGTTGTAATCACACGCCGTCACCATGCTGTGTCAATTTGGCTTGTCCCTCACATGCCCGTGCGTGTTTTTCCACTTCTTGTCCACAGCTCCACAGAGTCTGATCGCGTGTTGTTTGTTGATTGTGTAATCGTTTTCGAAAAATGAGGCGTGGACAAACCATGGACAATCCGTGGAAAGTACGTTTTTTAGCGTGGAAAGTACGTTTTTTAGCGTGGAAAGTACATTTAAAAGCGTGGACAACCATACCCCCAGGAGCCAACAACGCATGTTTGATCGGCAGCGATGCCCCGAAGCCACTAAAATTGCAGCATTTTTCAAAAAAGCCGGACTTCAGCACCAACATGCGAAAAATCTATGCACGCCTCTACAGTAGGCGGGACACCTGGCGATTTTGAAAAGTGATGCGACCATACATTTGGCAAGCCGGGGAATGAGTGGCTTGGGTGCAGTCATTTGCAGCTGGGAGGATGAGGGCGGCGTGACTTTCAGTGACCTGACCCTAAGCAATTCTTGGGCAACAAAAGCAATTATTTTTTGGATATTCAGGGCCAGGCGCAAAAAACGGTCTTTCAGCAAAAAACAGTCTAGCAACCTCGACCATTATTTTAATGGCCTTTGGAAGCCTAGGGTTCCAGTTGTTTTGCGAATTCGTCCAGAGCCTGAATTTGGCTCGGAGTTTCAGAGTCCGGTGCCTTTTCTTATAAGAAACCTCGAAGTTGGTCCCAATATGAGCCCCAAGGTTTTCGTGAACTCGAAGTTGGAGGTGTTTTGTGGACAGGCTTCGCCAAGCGGCGGGTCGGTTGCAGCGGCAACATGACTCAACCATCCCTACCGTGAAGCTCGGTGTAACGACGTCCAGCGTTGGTTTTGGTTTGTGACGTTCAAGGTTTTGTTCATAGGCATGCCTGAGTTTGGTTGGTGAATGGATCCCGCCTGGATTTTCTTGAGATGGATAACAATATTGCCATATTCGGAGACACTTTTTCAATCCACGGGTTCCAGCTTGCACCAACGGACAGTCATGTCTGTAGCATCCAAAAAACCATTCGATCGGGGATATAAAATGGCTTATATATACCTTTATAGCCATATGGTAGAACCAACAATTGCCTGGCTTTGGGCACTGCTCAAATATGGGCACATCCATAGTATGGGTGTGTTTGGTTGCACCCTTGGGGTGGTTTCTAAAGGGAAAGCAAACGGAGCGCTAGCTTTTGTGATGCATTGCCCGACTTAACTTCCCTTTTGCCTTGTTGGTTTGTTTTTGTTTGACTCATTTTTTCTGACAGGCAACAGCGAACTGCTTTTTGCAGGTCGGATCGTATGATGGCCAGTATGGCCGGTCTTTGGTCTAACCAAACCGCGTGACCTTTTTAAGGCAAGTGGCTTTCCATGAAGCCTACAAAAGGTGATCCACCTGTTCAGGGACGGTCCAAGTCTGGCCCTTCAAATACCAAGAGGAACGGGTGATGTCAAGCCCTGCCTAAGGAGGAGGCAGTCGCAGGTCCTTGGGATGTGTGTGTGCGTGTGTGTGTGTTTGTGCGCGCGTCTCAATTTGCCACATGTGCTGTTGGGGAATAAAAATGCCGAACAACAGTTGTTTGGAATCTCTTTTGCCGAATCAAATGGCTGTTGGGGAAAAAAAAGCCGGCTTCGCCGGGTTGGGTTGTCAATCTGCTAAATGTGCTGTTGGCCCAGCATAAATCTGTGTCAATCTGCTCAGCCGCTTGGTCGGGTCGGGTGGTCGTCGCAAAAGCCAAAAATGCCAAAGAACAAGTTGCACTCCCAAAAATAAGTCTCTTGATATGGGACTTGATTTGTTCGGCTTGGTCGGGTTGGGTGGTCCTTGCACAACGCGCCGCCGCCGCGTAACCGCGCGGCCACCCGCCTTGCTTTCTGCAGGTAGTCGCCGAGTGCCGCGCAGGCCACACGAAACAGAAGAACTAACTTGAAGGAGGTCTGGTGGTTCTCTCGTTTTTTTCTGGAAAAATGGGGGAAAGGTCCTTTTCGCCTCGGTTTCGTGCTTCCGAAGCGATTTAAGATTGCGAGCAAAAGGGATCACCAGCCGAAAGAAGAGAAGCCAAAGCTGTACCAAGAACATGTCCCCATGCGTAGCTGAATAGTTGGCAAAAGACACTTGCTACCAATCATGTCGATTCTTTGATCAGCCCCGGTCCGCTTTCTGTTGAAACAAGCCATGGTGGGTCCAACAAAACCTTCCAACACTTGTAACCGAACAATGCGATGATTATGCGGCTGCAAGACAAGAACTTTCTATGATAGGGTACAGGGACACAGAAATCCGCATCTAGAATCCGCAAAGTCTTTTCCTTCACATTGCGTGGCGCGGCGCATATGACTCCACCCCACCCCAAGACCCCACCCCTCCCCCCCCCCCCCGCGACACACGTGATCGCGTGGCGCGGCGCTTATGACCCCACCCCACCCCAAGACGCCTCCTCCCCCCCCCCCCCCCCCGCGAGCGTGTGAAATACCATGCAAAATGTGTCGCTTTTGTGATACATGTCTAGGAAGTCCCACGCAGGCCACACGAAATGCAACACACGAAATGCGTCCAAACGCGCGATTACGTATTTTTTGTCGATACATGTCTAGGAAGCCCCACGCAGGCCACACGAAATGCAACACACGAAATGCGTCCACACGCGCGATTACGTACCGGCGGGGCCTTGCACAAACACACAAAAAAAAACGTCGAAGGAGTGCTGCACTGCCAGCACGGGCAGTGGGGCCTGGAGGCCATGATCCCCTGGTGGCTGCGCCGTGGCTGCGCCACCGAGAACCCCGAGGCGCGCTTCCGCGCGCACGCATTTCGTGGGAAGTTCTGGGCGGTTCGGTTGATTCAGCCAAAGATAAACCCTGTGAGTCCTGGACCCCCAGTAACAACCCTGAGCAAATTGAAGTTAGCCCGGAAATGGTGGGCAATATCACATGTTCACGGGAAGTTTGGGGGTCCAGCTTGGGAACCACACTTTAAGTGAAGAATGTCTCAGGGTTAGCCACTTGTTTGGACCACTGGGATCCAGCGGGAAATGCATTTTGCGGACCCCTGATAAATGCGGAGCACTCAGATAGTGTGTCCGAACATGTGTTTGGTGAAGACTAAAGATGGTTAACCGAATCTGACCCCCAAAAAACATGATTTCCCATGCACCTACGCCAAGAGGGGGTTTGTCTCCACACAAAATGTACGGCTAGTTTCAACGCTCAGAGGTGGTGGACGTCTTTCCCCCGCCGAATTTGCCCGAAGGGCATTACATTTATACCCATGTATGTGCCATAATTGGGACTACCCAGCGGATCCCAGGTGGGGTAGGGAACCCGTCGATCCATTCTCCTCGTGGCTTTTTGTTTCTTACCGGGTTTCATTGGTTACCTAATGAGAGACATGGATTCACTTTGATACCTTCGAATTTCCATCATGTTCCATGTCAAGCGGCCAAAGCGTTCACTTCTCGCTGGGGTCTCTGATCCCAAAGGTAGATAATATATTCTGGGGCTGACTAAACATGACGCACAATGTGAAAAGCATCTCAGGCTCTGAGCTCCGTTTCGGACTTTGGTCACTTCTTGGAGTCAGGGACCACTGCTGGTGGAGTCAGGGACCCATACGACGAAAGACCCGCCCCAAGAAGTCCCCCTGTTTCTGGACTTTGCTCTGCAGTGTAATTATTCCTAAAAGGAAACGGAGGGGTATATATTTTAGGAGTTTTTTTCGTTTTTTTAGGATTTTTGTTTCGCTTTTGGCTTCTTGGCTTCTTGGCTTTTCGGCTTCTTGGCTTCTCGGCTTCTGGGCTTCTGGGCTTTTCGGCTTTTTGCTGTTATGCGGCTTTTAGTGGCTTTTTGGCTTTTTCGCATCCTCTGCATTCCCAGTTCCTCTTCGGCAGGTGGCGTTTTGGCTTTTGTGGCTTTTCGCTGGTTTATGCGGCTGTTGGCGGCTTGGCTTTTGGCAGCTTCGGCTTTTCGCATCTTTCGCTATTGGTTTTTAGATTTGGCTTCCCGCATCATCAGCATCACCACCACCCTATTTGATCATCACTTCTTCGGACATCATGGGGGGGAACCCCCCCCCAACCCACCCGCTACTGTTTGCAGAGTAATTGCACCCCTATTTGAATCAACTCTTCTTCAAACATCATGGGGGGGGTTGCCGCCTCCCCCCCGCTACTTTTTAGATTTCTTGCAGAGATTGAATTGCACCCCTGTTTGAATCATCACTTGTTCGAGCGTCCAATTTCGCGAGAAAATGCTGCAAAATACGACATTGTAGGGAATCTGTGTAATCCATGTATGTCTGTATGTATGCATTTCTTCGAACATCATAGGGGAAGCCACCCCCGCCAACCCTCCCGCTGCCTTTTAAATTCTATCGCACCCAATCATTGCACCCCGAATTGAATCATCGAACATCATGAGGGGGGCTGCCGCCACCCCCAACCCCCCCCGCTAGTTTTTAGATTTTTTGCAGAGATTCAATTGCACCCCTATTCGAATCATCTCTTCTGCGACCATCATGGCCCAACCCCCCCTTTGAAAAAAACTGGGATTGAAGCATTATTTTTTTTGACCCCGTCAACTTGTTGGGTTTTGTTACGCACGATTTGTTGGTGATGCTAGGGATGTTGATCGGACATGCGGGAGATGTTGAAAACGATGCTGGGGATGTTGACGGGCTGGTGTAAAATGCGTCAATTTCGCGAGAAAATGATGTAAACTACGACATTTTACTGGCCCGGACCAAAAAAAAACACAAAACAAATCCCAAAATAAATCCGCACTCAAAGGAACCCCTGGGCTTTATTGCTGGTGGTGGTTCTCCCTTTAAAAGTTGTTTAGACATTTCCCATATTTACCTATAGTTCCCCTATATTTCTCGTTGTTTCTCTATGTTTTTCAATGTGGGTTTGAATTCAAAATGCATTTTCTGGCGTGATGTTCAAAAGGCAAAGTTTTGGGAGCTCTGTACTGCCTTGCACTCCAAACTCCCCAACTTTTGTCTTGTTTCGAGGCCCCCTATTTTGAGACAGTCTTGTATTCGTAACTTGGAATCACGGCCAATCAAAAGCCTGGAAATGAAGCGAATGAGGCAGTATGTGTTGGTTAAGCCTTCTAAGTACCGCTCTGCTGTTTCAAGAATTGTTGAACAAGAACAGCCGAAAAATGAGAAGCTATCAACGTAATCCATCCCCAGCAAATGTTGTTTAAAAACAATGGTCGGAATGATAGAATCGCTTTTTGATCATGAACAAACCAGTTTGTGTTGCGCTCTCCCTCTTTATTCAAATATATATATATATATATACACATATATATATATACCTATACCATAGCGGGTACCTGGAGTGGCTAGGGTCAATGCAAACGCTTCCCAGGAGGCAGACTACTTCCTGGTGCCTTGGCACACCTGGTGCGATCGGATGATCTTCCGGATGAACCAGCCGCTCGCACCAGTCATGTGTGTTTCTCTAGCGATTACTTGCAATAGTGGTAACATCACTGTCAGTCGCCCAGCGGCCCAAGGCAAGTCAGGCTGTTGGCTTTTCGCGCGTTTTCCTGTGTTGGCCGCTGTTTAGTCGTGTTTCCTTTGTTCACCTTGTGTTTCTGGGTCCTTTGGGCAGCCACCTGGGTACCTCTGGCACGGACCCAAGTGAGGTCTCGTGAGCCCATTGGCGATATCTCCGCGGTGTACCTGGAGTTGATGCAACGCAAGGCGCAAGCGCTAGACCAGCGATGTCGATCCGGCCAGCTTTGCTTGGAGTCCTTGCATTTTCCTTTTGGATGGTTCAAACATCGCGATGTCTCAAAAACTCGTGTGAGAAGTGCATGCGCCCGAAAATGCACAAGCGCAGTTCGCAGAAGCATCGACTTTCCCGTTCTCCCACGCTTCCTCAGAGGAACCCTGAACCCTGGGAAAGAGCAAGCACTTTCTGCCGTCCTGAAGAAGCAACCCGACCTTTGTGACATACACAATTTGAGCTTTTCGAGACCTAAGGACAGGGCGCTGTCCGTTTGACTTAATTGACATACCAGGGTCCATGTTAGGACAACCCCTGGCTTGAGTGTTGTTCCAACTGCATTGCGGAGCTTCAGATGTGTCGCTCGCTTCGAGCCTCGTGCGGGGCCTGGGGAGGTAACGCATCATTTTGCCCTGTTTGCCATGTGGAATTAAGGGGGGCTCTACTGCTCTACCACTCAATTTGGTGGACAGTCAAGCTTAACCTTTCTAACGACCTGGTCAGAAACAACAATTCGTTGGTCCGTGCTTATATGCAGTGGTCTAGTAGCTCCCGTTGCTCTTTCCCAAGGTAGCCAGCGTTGTGGTGTATAGACAACAGGAATCTAGGTTTTGTTGTAATTAATCAAGCAACAGGGCGGGATGTCCGTGTTCCTTGGCCACTGGGCAAGTACCCTCCCATCCACGTTGCCATTGTATCTGACTGGACGGGACGCCCGTGTTGCTCCAAAATCCGCAGCCGTCAGGAGGGCAACATTCATCTAACCGTTCCTACCGCCCCCCCCCTTTCAGTCCTCCCCAAGGGGTGACAGAAGGCATGTGAAAGATCCTTCCAGTCATGTCTGGCTCGAGATAGTCTGGAGGAGGCAGCCCCTTTCTTAGGCTTACCTCTTCAGTTTCCACTCATTGCCGAACAGACTTCTCATGTTTCCCCTCAAAGTCAACAAACCAAAAAAGCTACCAAGCCGTTGTTTTTCCCCCCGGAAATCCGCCAGGGCTCTGGGTCATGTTCGTCCAGGGCCAACCAGTTTAGTTTGGTGCTACCTGGACCTCAAACTACCCGTAAAAAAGGAAATCTCCCGAGCAATCTCCGATTTCCATGGGGGTGTTGGCGGGTTCAGGCAGCGGAGTGCCCTCCCCTCCCCCCATTTGATCGCACACACCGACTCTAAGTGGTAAGTATTAAGTCCCAGGTAGCTTGGTGGCTCCCAGCCATCCCCACTAAAAGTTAGTCACTTTTAGCGGGAGATCTGAGATCAGCCCAGCTAGGAAATTTCCGGGGGATTTGCGCCCAGGAGGAGTTGTTGCCACACTGGTCGCGTCAGCTGGGCCGAGACCACATCTTCATCTTCTCGGATCAGGGGATGAACTTCTTTCCGGACCGGGCGAAGGGCGAAGCCCCAGTTTCAGGTTGTTCTTCGTGCGTGTGTTCTCGGGTACCCCAACAATTGTTGGGGCTGGTTAGGGAAACCAGAAAGGAAACTAGCCCTGTTCTGGGATCGGTGCCTAGGGCAAATAGCTGGAACCGAATCTAAAAATCGTATTTGACAGGGCCAAGTTTTCGTGGTACTTGTACACATCACCGCTTGGGCCAAGTTGCGCGCCTTTTTCCGGACCGGACTCAGTGGAGACTTCGAAGGCCGAAAGCATCTGTGGTCTCCAAAAAATAGTGTGGATGGACGAAATCCATTTCGCACCACGTTGAAACCATGGTTGAAGCCATGCGTGTGTTGCCATTTACGTTGGGGAATCGAATCAGAAACCAGGGTTTCTTAGGCGGTGCGAAATGGCATCCGCAGTAGCTCATATAGGGTTGGCCAAATACGGTTGGCAGAATTTATCTGAAGATATGGAATCGCAAGTTGCCAAGGCTTCAAGGAATATGAACCCAGATATACCCAGACACTTCTGAGTCCAGAGCAGCCCAGATGGCAATGGCTTCAATGGATAAGGCTGGTTTGTGTGTGTGTGTGTGTGCTCGCAATGGCCGGTTTAGTTCGCAAACTTAGCACTTGGTTGATCTTCGCATGAGGCCCACAAAGTTGGAGCTTTTTCTGGCGACGAACATCGCCATCTGTGAAACGACATCACTGAAGCCAACACGAAATACCTAGCCCACAGGTGGGTACAAGTAGGGAAATTTCAAGCGGAAGTTCTTCAGCGCCTTCGGGCTTTCGAGGTACGTGTGGATTCACTTCTGGGACCTCAACCCTCGGTTGGTTTCCTTTTGCCACGTGTTTTTGGGACAGTCCTACTTTGACACCCGTGTTCGCAGCTACTTTTGTCTTAGCGGTCCCATTTTTGACCAAAGAATTAGCCCATTATGGGACCCTTTCCGGGAGACTACCACTTTGGCGCGCCTTGCAAGTAGATTTTCCGATGTTGGTTGATTTTCCGATGTTGGTTGATTCCCTGTCCATTCTCTTCACGCGTTCTTCCCGGAAACCTGGCAATTCTTAGTGATATGGGTGGGTCACCCTTGTTTGAGGCCGCTTATTTTGGTTTTTACAGGGGGGCCAAAAACAAAAATCGGCCATTTTGGAGCTACCCCAAGAAAACACCAGACACGCCCATATGTTCAAGTTCATCTTGACATGTGACAACCCAGTTTTGATATATGATTTGCTCCAATGAGTATGATCTCAATGATCGAATTGGCAATACCAATGATACTTCAGAGTTATGATTCATACTTTGCGGCGGCCGCTTCATCGCAGGAGTGGCGCGACCACATCCCACACTCCATTTTCCTGACCACGGAGGTGCGGAGAAGAGAGCCAACCTGAACCCGAACAGAATTCCGACATTCCTGGCATCTCTTTTGAGAACCACTATTTCGGGGCAGCAAAAGCAGCGGCACATGGCTTTTGTTCTGGGAACATACACAGCACAACGGCAAGGATCCTATACCGATTTAAAGCCAGGAGGAGCCATTGCAGCGGGTTTTTTTCTCAACAGGCACATAGAACGGTGGCGTGACGTTTGTCTTGTAGTCTCCTCATTTCTTCCTAGAGGTTTGGTTTCAGGCCGGCTTTCAGAAGGCAACGGGTTGGGTAAGAGTGTACAAAACGAACCACTTACCAGTGCTTCCAGGCAAGCAGGCCATTGTATGTAGTAGGCAATCCTTCTGTATGTTTATCTCCTGGTTTCACCATCGATGGGCAAACCCCCTTTGTTGCCCACTGTAGTGGTAACTGGAGGCACTGGGAATACTACATTGTTTTCCTATGGTTTTAAAGTCCCCACAACTCCGTTCAAACAGTAAACACGGCCCTTGCAGCACGTGATGGCTGTGAGCAACCAAGTTTCAAGTAACCCGGAGTTGGTGGTTTGGATAAGTGGACGGATTCGCTACAAGACTTGTAGAGGGTACGTGATTGGGCAACCACCCCGAGGCTACCTCCGAACCACCAAAGAGGGCAGCCGAAAGTCTTGGCCTCACGAAACTCGACGGGGTTCGGTCAAAATGTCCAGGCGCCCATTTGAAATTTGGATCATGGGGGAATAGTTCAATCACGAGCTCTAAATCGGGGGACGTAGTAACTTTCGCAAAAAACGGGGGACGCAACCCTATTCCGATCAGTCCGGATCTGACCTTTGGGTTTGCCATGATCCATGTTGAGTCAAGGTCTCGAAAGGTTACTCTGTTATTCCCAGGTCCTTTGGGCAGGTAATCTGGTAGCCCTTACTTGGTGATTTTGGGATTCGAACCCCTGGTTCTTGAGGGCAAGCGAGAAACCGCGGAACACCAAGCCAAGGCACTGGGCTCAAACCACCAAGGGGGAAGCTGAAGTGAGAACATCGCAACCATGGCTGTCGCTAGGCGCTCACGCCTGGCTGCGGGCCGAGTTGCTACAACCCCTGGAAGGATCTAGTGGTGCCAGGCAATTAGTCGATCCGTGGAGACGTGTAGAGTTGGGTTTGGGGGGGGGGGCTTTTGGAGGGTAGTGGTTTTGGGGCCGAAACTTTCGTGACAGATACCCGCACGTTGCAGGTTTCTTAAAAGAAAAAACGGTGAGTGGAGAGAATGAGTAGTCAACCCGTAGAGGTGTATAGCCTTACTTGCCGAAAACGAATCAAGTGGATTTGGCCGCTTGTTTCTTGTGTCGGCAACTAATTTCAGTCAATGCAACCTTTTGTTGGGCACTTTGTGCAAGTGAGTCTAAGGGAAGCCAAATTCAGGAGGTGGTAAGGGGTGAATTGCCCATGGACCAAAGATCTCTGATTAAAGTGGGGCGAGTCTGTTACTAAGCCTGACCAATGTGGGCCAAAGAGCACGTGGTATTCCTGCAATAGTGTGAAAAGGAGAAATCACAGGAACTCTGTTTCTAGCTGGAGAGAAAATGATTCGGGGCCAAGGCAGGCATGTGAGGGTGTGAACGTCCGCACGGGAATGTATGGAGGTGGTCGAAGAAAAATCTGTGCATGAGGTTTGATCAACACGTCCAATCTATGGTTTTGGGAGAGGGGAAGCCGCTAAATTTCAACCACATCCAAAGGACTCGCCTGGTTGGTCCATGTCTTCGGGGAAACATAACAATTATCGTCATATTGTTTGGACCGGGCCTTGCAGCTTTGGAGCATATGCATATAGGGAATGGCAACAATATGTCGGTTCCTCGCCAAATGGACTCCAAGTTTCGTCCGGTTGGAGTGTCCAATTCCACACTGACTAAGCCCACTTTGTTTGCATGTGATGTCAATCCCTGACTAAAGCACATGTTGTGCGAATATTCCATAAACGAATATCGGCTATTTGGAGTAGGGGGTAGATTCATGAGACTGATTTTTGGGCTTTATTCTCCCAGTTTGGGTTTCCTCGATGCTTGTAACCTTCCCGGGCAGGGTTCGGCCACCTCCTTGTGCAAGGACCAGGGGCCGGTTCGTCAGGACAAGGGGACCTCCCGATAAAAAAAAAGGAGAAAGAAGCAGAGAGGAGTGTGTCAAACTTGGTCTCCTTTGAATCTTGATCCGAAACAGGGGAAAAGACAAAGATGGCTGTTCCCTTTGGTCTCCCTCAAGAGCTGATCCTAAAGAGGGTACCCTCACAAATCGACGGTTTGCCACCAGTGCTCAGCTCGCCTGGAACCCAGCACATGAGGTTCGATCACCAGAGTCTGGTCCACTTGCCCGGGACAGCTCCAAACTTCGAGCTCAAGGGGACGGAAGTCTCATTTTCCCATGTGAGGGTTGGGTCAACATGATCCATGGTCAGGTGGGGTCAGGGACATGGGACTCACGACAAAATTGGGGAACGGCACCCTTTGTTCCATCCCATGCCAGCTGTTTGTTCTAAAGGGAATCTATCACTACTGGCATATGAGTTGTTTTTCAGGGACGCCGCAAGGAAAACAGCCATTTCTTGGGGGGGGGGGGTCCCCTATTTTTCAGACACACTCACATCCTCTTGAAAGATTCATATGATACATATATGTTTGCCTGTGGCTCATGTGCCAGGTCATGTGGACTACTTCCGCTTCCGGCGCATGCAGGAGGCCGGAACGACGGCTGGCCGAGAGTTTCCCCACAGCTCGAAATGGGTGTCTGGTGTTTTTGAGGGTACCCTTGCTGGGTTGACTTTATAGAATCAGAAGGAAAGCCACGTTGTCTCACTCCCAAATTTTAGTTGAACCTTCTTTTTCAGTCTTTGGACACACACGTCCAGGGCTCATGGCCACTTGCTGCAAAACACAGGCAACATGCCAAGGTATGTAGGAATACTTTTTGTCGTCAAAACCAACCTTTAAACCCTCACCAATCGAAACTCTTTGTCCTGGTGCTCTAAATCGATGTCTAAAGCGAACTAGGCAGCAGGACCGGTCGCCCTCTGGGTGAGGCGTTGCAGTCTCGAGCGAAAGCTTGCAGAGCAAACTATAGTGGTTTGAGTCCACTCTGGTCCGTTATTTGTGTCCGTGATTTGTTTCTAGAGCGCACGCTCCTCAAATGCATGCTCCTTATGATTCACTTCGGCATCTCAGTATGTCAGCCGTCTGTTTGTTCAGCAGATGTTCTTGGGTCCAGGCACTGTAGCAAATTTTGACAAGCCAATTGGGACCTAAACAAGACCTTGATTCACAATGGAGACCCGTCCTTCGAAAAACTTAGAGGAACAATTGAAGGGTCGCTATTTGGGTGTGTCTCAAAACGGCACACACCATTTTGGTGGTTGTCCTTTCGATTTCCTCTTAAACCAGCGACGTACCCAAGGCAAAAGGGAGCCACACTCATTTTAAATTTCGACCAAACGATCCCTATCCACAAAGGGAATGGAGACACATGAGGTGAACCTTCCCTCTGAGCAGCGGGACATCCTCTTCAACTTCCATGGCAGACACCCGGGCTTTGGGCCCTCCTACTACAAGGACTCGACACGCGCACAACAACCCTCCAGATACCAAATGCCTGGTTTTGCTGGGGTTGGAAGGTTTTAGTGGCAGACGGTTGGAACTTTGTGTGGTTCATGTTCCAGTAGGTTTCTAATGGGGATTATCCAACTGGGTACCGTATCACCAGAAGTGGCGACTAGAAGCACTGCAAGTTTGATTAGTCGCTTGTTTGGCAATTAGTTTATCCGGCCCCTCAAGGTTATTCGGAAAGGATATCGGATATCGCCCAAACATTGGGGTGATTTCCCTTTAAGTGCAGTGCGTGTGTTTTGCTTCTCGCCAAACCTGTCCCTCAGCAACCGATGGCAACCAAAGGCCAGATCCGGCAACCGGCAAGCTGGTTTTGGGGGTCGTTGCAAGAATTGACATGCAGGATGGAACAGGGGCTCCCGGAACCCCATGTGGAAAAGGCTAACCCCTTCCCAAAAAGAGAAAAGCAACAAAGGGACAAGATGGGTTTGCGTTGTTTGATGCAACCCTTTCTGGGGTTTCTTTAAAAAGGAGCTAAAGGGAAACCCCACCATTTTTGGGTCCGATTCTTAGTTTAAGGGCCATGCCCGAAATCGGATTGGCTTCCTTTGAGTTTCCGACCAGGGCGCATCAACACTTGTGCCACGGGTTTCACAGCGAAGGTCAGACAGCAGTTGGCAGGTGGCTTCAGCGGTAAATGGAGCCACTGGCCTACAAATAAAGATAAGCAGCAAAGGTAGCTGGGTCACTGTAAGGCAGAACGGAATCCTCAGTTGCTTATGCCAGCGGCAGGCCAGTTATCTATGGTAGGTCATCAAGGGAACCACTACGGTAAGTGGGATCCATCAGGCTACGAGACCTATTGAAATCCTGTGTTGCCTCAGGAACATGTGATTGCTCAGCACCATGCGTCTTTTACCTGTTAGACTGGCTTGCAACTGGGATCTAGGCACGCAGGAGACTTGTCGTTCATCGCAATTACCCGCCTTTGCAAGAGTCTCATGGTGCAAACACATGAGGGCGTTTGGAGGTGCTTACAAAAACACAGTGTGCTAGGACAACGTGGTGAGGGGGAAGATCATCGACATATTTACAGGACTGGGCTCGAAAGACGGGGTGCAGCTACGTGAAGTGGAAACCGGCATTTGTTTACGGCTCATTCCTTGAGTTCCTGGACTTTCAGCTCGGGAAGATGACGGGCAACGCATATTTCTAGGGGTGCCTTCCCCATTCTTTCCAGGGATCCTTCTTTTCAGGAAACCATCCAAAAACCCAGGTTGGAAACAGATCCGGTTTTGAAAAGAACGATGCTTGAAAAGAATGGCCCTAGAATATTTATGCCCACATCGTATTATTTTCATTGCGTCAAAAAGTTGGTATCTTCAGCCTGGACCCTCAACCCGGAGGGACCCAGCACCCATATGAGGGCGTCAATCAGGTTTTTGGGTCAGACTTTTCCTGGGACCTCCAAAACCATGTTTGTTTTTTGATTTGACTGAATGTAGCGCACTATCTGCACACATTTTGTTAATGTTGAAACGCATGTGGAAACATGAACTGTGTGTGGAATGCTTGACCATAATGGCATGTGCCATTTTGGCTCAAGCATTGCTCTGGGTTCCTGGAACCCAAGCTGATTGAAAAACTTTGATCTTTTGCATTTTCGAACTTAACCCCGACCAAGCAATGGCTTCCTCGGCAACCTCGGCAACTTCCTTTGAGTTGATTGAGGACCAGACACTCACCGTGGAGGAGGTTGAAATGGCCAGCCAGGAGGCCCAGGACATTCGCGCACGGGAGGCGGCAGTGGTGGCCGGCTTGGTTTTGGACGAGCCCGAGGCCCCGGCGTCAGCTTCGGCGACCGATGTGATGAATGACGGCACGGAGCGGGCCACACCACCGGAGGAGGCGCAGACGCCACCCACGAAGAGACTGAAGGGCTTTGTGGCGGCTTCTCAGAAGGCTACGTCTCAGGCCAACAAACCTGTCACCTTGGTGCCGGTGGACGGAAAACCTGGGTACTTCAAGCTGGTGGACCTCCCGGACTTGTTTCCAGTCCTTCCAGCGTCGGCGGCCACCTTGCTGAGAGACATCACGGTGGAGGAGGCGGTCTCCCTGGTGATCCGTACGTCCCGATGAAGATCCAGCTCCGCCAGGAGGAGGTCTGGGCTTCGCAGTTCCAGAGGAACAAGGCGTGTATCGGCACCCAGCGCATGTACAGGCTCGACGCAGGTCATTCCGACTACAAGTTCATGCGCAAGGCATGCGGAACGGGGTGGCCAGAGGCAGCCAAGCAGTGCTGGGTCTGCCCCGGCAAGGAGTCCGCCCCCTTCCAGGCACCCTCGGCCACCTATGAGGCGGACGGCATCACCTACAACCTGCTCATCTTGGAGGGCAAGCCAATCTGGATCCAGCAGCGGGAATGGGGGAGCCTGGGTGCCGTTGGCCCCGGTGGTACCCTGGCACAGGCCGACCGCAACTTGGTGGACGGCACGGTCTTGGGGAGAGCCCCTCCAAAAACGGACTCGGCTGATGAGATCACCATGGCAGATGCGGTCCCGCTTAACATGCGGGTGGACATCCGGCAGGAGATCCTTTCCATGGAGGCGGATGACGAGGTCCGGGAAAGCCAGGAGATCCGGGTCAAAGTGCAGCGGTCCCTGAAAGAGGCGGAGGCTCAGAGCTTCGAGCTCTACCATCCCCAGGTGGACCAGGCGATCAGGAAGAAGGAGGAGCTGCATAAGGCCTTGCGGGAGCAGCGGGAGCCGACTCCGGAGGAGGCCTCGGCCAGGCGGCTGCACAAGGAGTTGGTCACTGAGGAGATGCTGGACAACGAGATGGCGATCCTGGCGCCCCTCCAGGAGGGCATGCAGGCCCTGCCGTCAGATGAGGTGGCCAACGAGGCCCGTGCCCTCAGGAAGGTCAACCTGGAGCGTTTCAAGGCCAAGCTGAGAGACCAGTACTTGGAGGGGAAGGGCGTTGACGCCAGCCAGGCATTGGCTGAGGCGATGGGCTCCATTCAGGAGGCCCACGCAGCAAACAAGCGAATCCAGGACACCAACCAGGCATGGATGCTCAACCACACTCTCAAGCCCTTGGAAGTGTCGGCGTGGCCGGATGATCAGGAAGGCCCTGGAGAGGGGCCTATTCTGCCCCCTGGAGCTGGAGGACCCCGACGACATCCCCCCGGTGGGGGACATCAAGGAGAAGTATGTCCTACATCAAGATGCTCAGAGCGTCGCAGAACCCGTGGCACCAGGAGGCACTGCTGGAGGAGATGCCCGAGCTGGAGGCACCGGCCCCCCCCAAACATGCCACCGGCCCCGGGGGACCAGCCCATGTCCCAGCAGGACCTGGACTCTGAGGACGGCAAGCTGTCCCTTATCCTCTGGGCAATGAAGCGGCACCAGGGAGAGCTCCGGATGTTTGGGGGGTTTGGAGGAAGCACGCAAGCGGTGAGATCCCCCGGCACCTGAGCAGGTGGTTGGCATCTTCTGGGCGAAAGGTGATGGGGTGTTTTGGACCAGACAGACGAGAACGTGGGATGTGCCGAGCCTGACGGGAGTGTACGCCCACAGGTTCACATTTAAGTATATCTACTCGGCCTGGACCACCTTCCCGTTGATTGTGAAGACGCAACGCCGGGGCCGCAATGCGGAGGGCTCGACCTCGGACAAGTGGATGGGCAACATTATCCAGATGAGGAAGGAGGCCTGTGCTTCCTCGACTATTCTTTAAATAGCCTCGACCATTTAAAAATCGAAAGGCTATAAAAGTAATGTCCCTCGACCATTAAAAGTAGGTCTAGACAAACTTGGCCAACTCGAGACGGCTGGCTCCTGACATCCCCGCGCGCTTCTGTTCAGTGAGAGGTTGAAGAACTTGATTGCTGCCTTTTATGAAATCGGCTAAGTATGTTTTACTGTCGCTTCATCCCGTTGTAATCACACGCCGTCACCATGCTGTGTCAATTTGGCTTGTCCCTCACATGCCCGTGCGTGCTTTCCCACTTCTTGTCCACAGCTCCACAGAGTCTGATCGCGTGTTGTGCGTTGATTGTTTAATCGTGTTCGAAGAAAATGAGGCGTGGACAAACCATGGACAAACCATGGAAAGTACATTTTTTAGCGTGGAAAGTACATTTAAAAGCGTGGAAAGTACGTTTAAAAGCGTGGACAACCATACCCCCAGAAGCCCACAACACATGCCTGATCGGCAGCGATGCCCCGAAGCCACTAAGTTTGCAGCATTTTCAAAAAAGCCGGACTTCAGTACCAACATGCGAAGAATCTATGCACGCCTCTACAGTAGGCGAGACACCTGGCGATTTTTAAAGTGATGCGACCATACATTTGGCAAGCCGGGGAATGAGTGGCTTGGGTGCAGTCATTTGCAGCTGGCAGGATGAGGCGGCGTGACTTTCAGTGACCTGACCCTAAGCAATTCTTGGGCAACAAAAACATGATTTTTTGGATATTCAGGGCCAGGCGCCAAAAACGGTCTTTCGGCAAAAAACAGTCTAGCGACCTCGACCATTCTTTTAATGGCCTTTGGAAGCCTAGGGAGTTGTTGCATGTTCAGAGGGGAAACATCCTCCCAATAGGATGGGTTCTACTGAGATGGGTCAGCATGACCCCCGCAGCCTGACGGAATAAGCCCATCGGATCGGGGCGCCCCACCCCCCAAATCTCCAGAAGAAGAAAAAGGCACTCCCACCTCCAAAAAAAATCGGCCAATGCTCCCGGGTGTTCCCATGATCAGGTTGGTGGATTGCTGGTTCGGATTTGGATTTGAACCCCTGGTTCTTGAAGAGAATACCAAAAAAAGACAAACACCCCATTTCACCACCAAACTAAGGGGCTCCAAACCACCAAGGGAAGCTGACATGGATTTGTGGGGCCCCAGGAGTGCCGGGGGTGTCTGTGGGCGGCTTCGTGGAGGGCTACTTCGAAGTCATGGGCCACTCGCCGAAAAGCCTAGCTTTCGGAGTACGGACCAAAGAAGAACGGATGCAAGTCACAGCTTTCTTCCGGGCAACCTCCAAATACGGCGCGTTTCACGGCTGTGGATGCAAGCCAAAGCTTTCCCCCGCAAGCTCCAAATGCCGCGCGTTTCAGGGGTGTGATGTTTTGCCAACCCTAAACAATTATTTGGAGTACGGGGCTACCCATCAATTGGAGCACTCATTGGACCGGCCGCACCCTTCTTGTTTCCCTTCGCTCAGTCCCTGAATTCCGTTTCGGAGTGTAGTCACGTTTTGGTTTCGGCTCATTTTGGCGAAATCAGGGACCAATACGACTAAAGACCAGGCCCCCCAGAGTCTGTCGAGGCACTTCCCCAGTTTCTGGACTTGGGGTTGGGACCATTCGAGTAGGCAACAACTTCGACTGCTTTTTGTTGGCCCGTCTCGACCGGAAGTGACTTGCCGACCTGATTCCTTCTCCAAATGCCACAGGCCTTGTCGTAGCCATCCCTGAAGGCCCACCCCAAGTAAAGACACAACACAAGAAACACCCAAAGTCCTCCCCGACACATCACAAACCAGCTTCCCCTGCCAAAAAGAACAAAAGAAGGACAGAGAACACGAAAAACACTAAAAGCCAAGGTGCCCCCCAAAAAAAAAACACAAAAACACGAAGCCCAGCGGGCTGGCCGCCCTCCATTTCTCTCGTTTTGCGCCTCGAGCGAAAAATCGAACCGAACCGAACCGAAGCGAGGCGCCTCCCACTTTTGCCTGGTGCCAATGGGCACCTCCTCGTGGACCAATCACCTCTACGAGGCCTTCTTCGCTGGCTGCATCCCCGTGATCTTGAGCCGCTAGGTCCCCCAGTAGTGCCCTTTTACCGTTTCTTTTTTGGGGGGTGGGTTCCCCTACTAACATAGACTGCAGAAAAAAGTTGGTATCCTTATTCGAACCTCTCTACTGGAGGACCTAGTCAAGATAGGGGAACCCAAAGACATGGTGGGTGTCCTGTACCTGGTTTTCGAAAGAGCTACCCATCAAGGAATCAAAAAGAAGCACATGTACATGGCCTTGTCTCAAAAACGGGGAGCCAAAGAAATGGGTGCGTTTAATTTTTCCCTGATACCTGGACCCGAGCGAACTGCCCGTTGAAAAACAACGGGAATTCCCCAGCCGTCATTTTGGGCTGCAATCACCAATTTGTAGGGGATTTTTGAGGTGCAGGTGAATATAGGTTTGTTTTTCTTTAGGTGGGACTTGTCCTTTAAAGAAAGGTAGCCTCCACAAAAAGGCTATGTACCTGGAGTCTCCGCGACCTTCAAACACGGGGCTACGACCCCTTTGCGATAACCTTATATGGGTGTTGGTCCTTTTGCGTGGATGGCAATGGGCAACCAAGAGGACGCCCGAAGCCCATGCTTCGGGTTCCCTATTTTGAGACAACCCCAACGTGAGTATGTATCTATATATGTATATGTGTATGTACACATACACATGTTGCTTGTGCAAAGCAAAGCGACTTTTTGACCTTTTGTGCATCCCTTGTTCTATTTCTACGGTTGGTACCCAAAGTTGGGGAACCGTCAAAATTATTAGTCTTGTTTTTCCTATTTTGATACACACCCTTCATTAGCTCACGCCCCCTGACCCCCCCCAGAACATATCTGCATGTATACAGGCATACTACGTACTATATGCATGTGTAGATAGATTAGGTGTAGGGAGAATACAGGAGCGTTACTGGTGCTGCAGTTGTTTTGTTGTGTTTGCTGCTCCTCTCTTGTGATCTGGAGCTTCGCCCTCCAAATACCCAGCTATGTTTGTTGATAGAAACTAAACACCTACAGTAGCTGTCCATAGTGAATGCCTCCTGTGTCGGTCACTATGCCCTAAAAGAAGTGGATATATGTGTCCTTCTTGATTTGGTTGAACGTTGATGGCACTGGTGTTCTGGGTTGGTTTGTTCTGTTCAGGTTTTGAGTTGTGCCGTACTTGTTGGGCTGTGCTTGACGTTGTTGTGTTGCCGTTTGTTGCTCCTTTTTTGGCTTGCATTGTTTTGCAATTGCTTAGTTCTGTGTGGAGTCTCTTTCGCGTCGTTTTCTGCGATTGTCCGTTTTGTTTTTGTTCTTTGTGCGAAGTTGTCATAGTGTCTAGTGTTGTTGTTAATTTATCGGTCCATTACGTTCTGTTCAAGGGCATTGTTGAGAATGGGTTTTGGAGTTATGTATGCTTACATACCACCAACATAGGCGCTGCACCCGCTATATAAGTGTAAATCCATATAATAGAGATATATGAGCCTCCACATCTCCAAAACGCATACCTGAGAATCCCCTCATTTGTGGTTGGGCAGTCGTTGATGTCACGCCCAGAGTTTCTCACTCGAGGCGACAGCTTCGGCGTCCCCTTCGAGGGTGTGATCCATTGGGAAGAGTTCTCCATCAAATGGCCGATGGCGGATGTGGGGATGGAGCTCTACCACTACCTGATGTCCATGCCCAGCCAGACATTGCGGAGGCGAGCTGGCAACTGTCAAGGTAGGGATATTTGGAGCGGGGGTTTATTTGTCGGGCAGACGCTTGTTCAATACCAGGTTTCGATTGTGACAATAATTCAACAACCCATACAAACAGGCTTCCTTTCGTTAAATTAGACATCCTGGGTTTTATGGACCTTAAAGGGGGGGCTATGGGGGGGGGCTATCCATGAACCTGGGGGCTATCACTCTTCGTTGCATGTATTTTAGTGTTTTAGTTTCCTGGTTCTGTTCATTCTTTAGTGGGGGTGCTGCGGAGAAAAGTTTTTGCTACCATAGCATGTCTTGGGAAGACCACATAGTAAACCCTTCATTCGGTACTATTGCGGCTTATCCTTGGCTTATTCAGGGATGGCCCCCCTATATCCTTTTGTGGAGGTCCATAAATCCAGCATGTTTAATTTCACGAAAGGAAGCCTGTTTGTATGGGTTTTTGAATTTATGTCACAATTGAAAGCTGGTATTGAACAAGAGTCTGCCCAAATATCCCAGCTCGGGGGTACGATGTCAACCCCTGATAAAAATGTATTTTGTTTTTTGTTTTTTCAATTTATAGTTTACCGTGCAATGATTTGGAGTATACAAGTCTTAATTCCTGCAAGGGAAGCTGGCAGGTGAAGCATGTGTTTCAACTATTTCCAGACCGTACCCAAGAACATAGTTAGGGTGTGTGTGTGTGCGCGAGTTTGTTTCAGGGTGTACATTGTGTACCGTTTTTGGGGTTGGTTTGAAGGGAAAGGAAACCACTTTATTTCGGGTTCCCACTCTTTAGACACACAGCCATGAGGGCGGCTTCCTTATGGTGCTTCTCATTTGGTTTCCCTTTGGTCCAAAGCCTCCAGGAGCCAACCCCAAGGTCAGAGCAGAGCAAACAAAACACTATGGTCATTGGAGCTGGTTTTACTTCCCGGTTTCATTGGGGCTACTGTAAGGCCAGCCTGTACTGAGCTCAGGTTTGGGCTCGGGATAATCAAAAGATGCCGAGCCGCAGGATGAAGGCGGCAGTGGATGCCCATGCTTGCTGGTTCGACTACCATCAGACCCTTGAGAAGCCGGGGCAGAACTGCGCCTCGTTCTTGCCCATTTCGAATCGCCCGGATCGGACCTGACCTTTTCCTTCTTAGGTGTATGAGTCTATTCGGTTCCAAACCCCCTACGGCAAAATAGCCGCTTTTTTTCAGCCTGTTTTCGGGGAAACCTGGTCTTCCATGGCAAATAACTCCATTTCTAGTAGAGTGTCGACATGATATGATGCCCTAAGAAAAGAGGGTCTTTGGAGTAAGGGGAACCCTCAACCCGGACTGGGGGCACGCGGGGGAGTTCCTGGACTTTGTGTTTGAGAAGATAAGTGAGCCACAATCAAAGCCGGGGTAGATGAAGGTTAGTAAGGGGCAGTCCCAGCCAAAAATAGCTGCGGCCGCCTTTTTAATTCTTTACATGGTTCTGGATTCACCATTTTTGCACCAGGTTTTGATTGTGACTCAAGTGGTCGAGCCAAGAGTCAATGGGTGTGCGCGCCGATGGTCTTGCAGCCATGAAGCTATGCATAATGCGGGTGCTCCCGCCTGTTTTGAGGGTACTCCTTGGGGGGTGGTCCCCCACAAGAAGACACCCATATCCAGATATTTGAAAAGCTTTCAAGATGTGAGCCAAGGTTAACTTTATTTGGGGATCATGATTTCCGGTTTGTGAATTGCAATTTGCCCGGGTGGCTTTGGGAGCCCTTTGGCTGTGCTGGGTGAAGATAGATGACACCATCATCCCCTTACACCCTCTCTTAAGAAGCCCATAATTGGAACCACCGCGATCCTCGTCGATTTGAGGCTCCCCGTACCTGGCGCTGCTTCAGCTCTTGGAGCGGAAGCGTTTCGCCTTCGAGCGCCTGCCGGGCGTCGCCGGCTTCTGGAACCACGGCCGGGGAAAAAAACAACGGCCGCGGCGCGCGGACCCGCTTTGTTCCGCTTCGGGAATGCGCGGAACGCCAAACGTGGCGCCCTCCAAGCCTTTGAAAAGGGACCCCACCCCCCATACAAAAAGTGCAACATGCCCCATTTTTGGTGAGTTTGAGGCTCCAGGAACATGTTTGGTTAGGGCTTCTCGTAAATGACTGTTTGCCACAACGAGGGGGGTCGCCAAAGAAGCAGTGACAGCGGTGAGATCGGGCAAGTCGGGCGAGGGATTCGCGCTTGGTGTGTTTTGCCCAAGTTGGCTGCGTCGCGAACAAGTACAAGAGAGCCGTCAACGAAGAAAGGCGCAGTCCGAGGGTCCATTCAAAGTTCTGCAACACCTTTATTGGACCCTCAGCCGAAACTGCTCGACAGGACAGGGGGTGAGGCGACTGGGTGAATCACCTCGGAGGTATCTGGTTCGAGATTTGTACTTCGCCTGTTTGCTTTGGCGGACCTGGGTTCAGTCTGTTCCCTTTTCACCCGCGGTTTGCCAAACTTGACTACCTTTTCCCTTTGACCAGAAAGCTACCCTCAAAAAGGGAAATCACACCCATAATTGTGGGTTGCATGATCAACCAATTTATAAGGGTTTGAGGGTCTGGGTGGGATGTCTTTTTGAGGGTACCCTTTTTGGCAAGTTTCTTCATTTTAGTGAGTACTACAGCCCGTGTGGGTTGGCAAAGTAGAGAGCAACGCCCAAAATGGTACGTAAACGTCCCTCCTTTTGGGCTTCCATTGTTTTCCCCTACCAGAGAATCATATGTTTGATTTGCAGGGTGTCTGAAGCTCGACCTGATCTTGTTTCTGCGAACCTATGGGGATCCTGCAGTCCTGGACGCTGAGGCCAAGCCCAAAGTTTTGAAGCACGACTGCAGCGTGCTGAGCGGTTCCGGTCGTTGATGTGTTTGTCTTGGAGTTTTGTTTTTTCGAGTTAAGTTATTTGATTGTTCCTTGTTTGTTTTCAGTGATCTGATTTTGTCAGGTTCCCCTTGGTGGTTTGGATTGGTGCTTGGATTGGTGGTTTGGATTTGGATTTGACCCCCAGTTCTTGCAATGGACCACCAGACAGGAGGAAGCTGTATTTTTTCTTGATGTGACACACCAAGTTTAGTCAGCAGGGGGGTGGTTTCCGCAGGTTTTTGTGTTTTAACAGAAGAGCCTAATTAGTTAGAATGGGGTTGCGGAGTACTTTAAAGGTACATTTAGTCATGATGGTAGATTGATGTAATTGTTTTAGCTTCTTGTATGATAGGTTGACGAATTAGGGTTCAATTATCTGATGTTTGATTGTCTGTGTATCCCATGGGCCAAGATTTGTTCAATTTAGGTCCTTTCTGGGGGCCGCTGCTTTGATTCGGCGGGTTTTGATACTGAACATGCTACCCCGGAAAGTGCCGAACGTGCCTTCAGGAGTGCTAAAAGATGCAATAATTGGTGGCATCCGCAGTTGGGCATTCAACGGGCTTTTGAGCACGTTCTTTAGGAAAAGGGAAGCAGCGGGTCCTTTGGAAGAGTTGTGACGGATAAGTGTTGAGAGACTAAAAGCAGGATGTCTAAACAACAAGTGGAAACTCGTGGGTGTCTTGCCACCTTCCGCGCTACCGAATGTGGGAATCCCCCATTTGCCCACGAGGATGAATCCGCTGTGGTACCGCAGGGCATCCATGTCAAGTGGGTCCATATATATTCTCCTTTACTATCGACCTGGCACGGGGAGTGTTTGCGACCTATCGCAAATGGTCAGTCCCTTGTCTCAGGTGAGTCAGATGTTGTCCAGACACTGCGGTCAAAATGCCTGAATGACAGGGGGACTTGGGGGATTCACTCGATGTTGTTTCCATCGGGAAGGCTCCTTTGTGAGCCCAGGTTTCTGTCACGACCCGACATGTCCCAAAGTGCCCTGGTTGAGGATTGGCTTGACCGGGAGGCTTGTCGGCATGCTTGAACTTTTGTTGACCTAGGTTTCACCCAGTGCACCTTATGGGTCAACTGTTCAGCCAGTAGCTGGCCAGTTTCCAGATGACAGCGGAATTGAGAAGGACAAAGCCTGCCTATGCCAAGACGCGGCACATGGATGTCCTGAGTCCTTGTTTGTCTGCCAGCTCGCAGAAGCAAAATCACCACCTTGCAAGGCAGTCCCAGGCAGAAGAAACACGAGCATTTTGGTGGGTAGTTGGAGGGTCAGGGCCATCCTAAAACAGACATCTGGTTTTCTGATTCTGATTAAAGGGAAACCAATCGAAGAACAGCTATCTGGATCAGCCCCCCTCAATAATATCCTCGGACTATTGCCCTTATTTTTTTTGTGGTGGCATCCCATTCGCAAGGGCAGTTTCAGGGTCCAGGAATGATTGTCTTGGGCCGCCATTTTGGCGGGTCTCCCCCCCCATCCTCACGGCTCGACGTGCGTGTCAACCTGAGGGACGCCGAAAATCAGCACGCAGGGCAGCCCGGATTGTGTGGGAAGCCAAATTAAATGGCCAGAGGGAAGGAATAGCTCAAGATTGGTGCTCCTCCGGAAAAAACTAAAAGGAAAAAGAAGAAGAGAGAAAAAGAAAACACCGGAGGAAAAAAAGCATGTTTTGGGCGAGGCCGAAAAATCTCGGTCTGTGTCGAAATCTCGGAACGTGTCTTTTTGCCTTTCCGTTTGGTTTGCCCGAACCCCTTTGGAGGGTGCCCTCCCATTGGGAGTTTTCCGAGGGGCCCTCTCCCAAAGGCGTACCTGAACCCTCAAAATGCCAACTTAGAAATGGGTTTGACCCCCAAAGTTATGGTTGGTGATATCCGATTATCCCATTTTTATGGGTAGTTTGAGGATCCAGGTATGTGCAGTAGGGTTGCCCCCCGGTCTATGTGATGCTCCTTTGAATCCAACGGGGGGAGGGGGACGCTAGGGAGACTCTCGAGACGATTGGAGATTCGACATCCGCTGGTGTTCAGTGAGGCGCCGGAGTTGGAAATTCACAGAAGAACCCCCCCCAAAAAGAAAGGTGAGCAAAAAGCAATTCAGCAAGTGTTGGTGAACAAGCGAACATCCCAACCACAGGTTCTTGGGGGAACGGATGGGAACGGACCAACAGGTTCCTACCTGCTACTACCCAAACCATGGCTCAGCCAATTTGTGGTTTGGATTCGTTGTTTCGGATATGGCCATGGGTCAAAATCCAAATCGTACCCCCAGTGAACATCCGATTCAATCCAACCACTAAAATAGGTTCTGAAATGGGTGGTGCATCCACCGAAAACCCCCCAAACTGGGATCAACCACGTGTGATCACCACAGCCATTTCCCTCAGGTGTTGATTCAGGTGGCCTTTCTTGGGGAGCGAGATCGGCCCCAATGGATGGGCAGTGTCTAAGAGTACCCATGAGGGTACGATCCTGCCGATCGGAACTGAGCAAGCACCTGTAGAATATGATTTTGGAGTTTGTAGGGAGCTTTCACAGCGCCTTACATTTGATCTTCCTCTTGTTGGTTTGTGTCTCTTTATTCTTAGTGGGCTGCAAAATTCAAGCTTTTTGCTACCCTACCAAGGTTTGGGAAGGAGTAGTTCGGTCGGAGTAGTTTTCGGTCGTGATCCTTTCGGGCTCCCTTTGAACTTCCAAGGGGAACCGCAGTTCACTTGCTTCGGATCTGCATCGAGGTGGGAGCATGCGCCAGCACAAGGCGGAGCTTGAGAGCGAAAGAGCATACAAAGCATTGCCAGACCAAACTAACTTGCCCGCTTTTTGCCTTGTTTGCAGGGGGTCTAAGTTTGGAGATGGGGGTTGAAAGTAGGTTCTGCCCGGCCAATTCAGCTTGGAGTTTCAGCCAAACCTTTTAAAGCCGCCCCCCAAGACTGCCCAGCAATGGCATATCATAGCCAATCAGTATACCTGGGTCCTCAAACCGGTCCTAAAGATGTGATATTGCCCCAACATGATGGGGTGATTTCCATGTTTGACAGTAGTCTGGAGGGTGCAGGTACTGACACGTAACTCGGGTTCTCGACGGCGAAGTGACAAGTCCTTCTGGCTCTAGTCAGAGCTCTTCCTCTGCAAATGCCACAGAAACAAAAATGTGAGGCACACGTGTTTTTATTCTCCTCGGACAGCGCTGAGCACGTGCTGGTCTTTCACTTACCCATCCGGCTTCTAAGGCCGTGCAATGACTTCATCTA